ACTGATCATGCTGGAGAGTGGTCCCTCTCCTTTCGGTTGGTACAAAAAGGGACTGATGAGCACATGTCTCCTTGGGTCGTATGCAGCCAACCAAGATTCAAATCGCAAAAACACCACACGAGGCCTACCCCTTTTTCTCCAACTCATCCACCCACTCAAGACAACCATGATCTACCTGGCATAGATCCCAAAACGTCAGTAGCTCGTGGCCCCCCCTCCTTGCGAATCTGGCGGGAGGGGACGGCGAATCTGACCGTCGCCATGATGGCGGGGGCTGGCGGCTGCCCATCCTTGGGCCCAGTCTCCCAGCGCGTTCCGCACGGCGCAAGTTCCTTTGGGATTGAAACAGATTCTGTTGAGGATGACTTGTGGGCTGGAGCGAGCAATTTAAGGCAGCGCCGGCGATGTGGTATATTATTCATTGGAGTACTCTGTCATGTAATGCAACCTCTTTTCACTGAGGCATGCCTCACTTGGGTGACTCACGCATGTGGGGCTCCCCATTCCAGTGGGGTGCCAGTCCAGACTACCGTCGGGATGCCTGTGGAGGCGCGACATTTTTCGGCACTTGCGCCACACGAGATTGGTGGATCGGTCTTATCCACCTGACAGGATTTTGGCCTCAATGAATCCACGCAGAACCAACGGCAACACCCAAAACCACAAAACACGACAGCCCACGACAGCAGACAACAAGCAATGACACACAGAATGACAAGACCGAACGTAACGTACCTGGGAGGGTGGGAGTAGCTCGAAGTAAAGTATTTGTTACCCAAAGAGTTTACTGTTCGGATTCTCTCTGGGAAAACGACACTGGCCAGTTTCTGGCCGTGCCCCTGAACCCTTGTCCTCCTGCTGTCCTCCTTGTGTCCTTTGCTGTCCTCGTGCCACGCTTGCAAACCCTGTGGCGTGTCCTCCTGCTGTCCTCTGGCCTTTTTGTCTGCTGGTGTCCTCTGTCCTCCTGGTGTCCTGCTGTCTTCGAAACTTGCGAACCCTGTGTCCTTCGTACTCGTACTCCCGGTGTCCGTGCTACGCAGGACTCGTCCTGGTGTCCTCCTTTTGTCCCCCCTGGTCCTCCTGCGCCGTTCGTTCGTCCTCCGTGGCCGGCACGCCCGCCGTGCCGGCACGCGCCGCCCGGCTCTTCGTTGCCCCGTAAAACGGCGGACCCTTCTTCTCACCACCGCCCTGGTCCGAGCCGCACGTCCCAGTTCCCGCCCATCCCGCCAGGGTGTGTTCAGGTGTGGCTATGAATGCAACAAGTGATACAGTGGTTTCGATTTGGAATACTATCCTCGGATTTTCTGGCATATGTCCCCTCGTCTTTGCAGATGTGACCCGGGAACCAGGAACTTGTTTACATGCCATTCCCAAATAGCTGAAGGCTATGGAATGATTATACCGACGTTACCACCAACATTGGAATTCAAGGCGTTGACACAGAAAACTGACACTGCTTGGGGTCTATGCTGGCATAATTTGGGGTATAATGCTGCATTTTTTTTGCCGTTGCGTGGACCCTGAGGTGGTCCTCAAGTGGGTGAGCCACGCGTATGGGACTCTGGT